GGTGTTATGCTAATCGGACGGAATTCTGAAATTAGCCTTGCATTAGGTGTCTTTGGAATTGCTGTAATTATGGCTTCTTTCCATATCTTAGGCACTTCACCAGAAAACATAGAAATGTTGAAGATATGTGCCAAAGGTTTGCTAAGCGAATCAGCACATTCTTTGTATAATCTGGGGGATATCATCATAAGGTTCTGATATTGAAGGCTTCAATCTCTCAAAACAGCTCGAATATCAGAAGGCGAGAAGTAAACATTATCAAGCCGTCAACTGGTTGACAGTAGGGCGATACTAACATCATTTGAAAAGCTACTGTCATTTTGGGTAAAAACACTGGCAAAATACTCGGCTAAGGCATTAGCTTTAGCGACATCAGAACTATAGGTAATGCCAGTCGAATTCATAAGTACTGGCAACCGGGAACATCCTTTTAATTTCCTATTGATAAATTGGTACAAGAATTTTGATGAGGCTCTAGAGGCAAGCTTTCTTTCTTGATAGTCTAGAAATTTCTTCACATGAAAACCTATATCCATACAGATTTTCTTGTACATTGAACTTTCACATGGGTCTTGACTTTCAAGAAAAACCCGCTGCTTTTGTTCCATTAGATTTTTTATGTGTTTAGGGTAGCCGGTATTTGTCTGGCAGTGGATTCGGAAAGGTACGAAGATCTCTAGCGCGTTGTATATCACATTGCAAAACCTTTGGTACAGATTATCAACTGAGTAGTATTGATTAAACATGTCCCACCAGTTAACGTTCGCAAGATAAGAATACAAAGAATCGAATTCAAATTTCAAAAAGTCTGGCATAGGAAAAGGGGCAGAGAGACTATAATTCACATTCAAATTAAACCCAATGATGCAATGGTCAGAGTTAGCGAGTGGAGGTAAAATTCGTACATTTGAGACAGTAGGCGATGATGACAAAATCAGATCGAGAATGTTTGAAACATGAGTTGGACAATTTACTAATTGATCCAAACCCAGTTCATCAAAAAAGTTTAGAAATCTCGCAGAAGTATGGTTAAGTGCAACAGCACTGCCCCAATTAATCTGCAAGTTAAAATCACCCACCATCACGGTCAAGCACTCGATAGATCGGTCAACGTTTGTATGAGTAGGTCATCATTGCTGGTCTGACTATTGGGTGGTCGGTAAACCAAAATCAGTCTCAATGTAGAAGATTTACATGGTATAATCAGGTCAACGCACAACACGTTTGCTTTCATGTTTATCATTGTTTCTATTTTTTGGACCAGTATTGCAGAGAAAGCTAAAATACATACTCCACCGCCTTTGCGGAAACTTCTATCAGATCGAAAAATGGAGTATGGAAAATTACCTATTATTTCACCATCAAAGATCTTAGAAGAAAACCATGTTTCGGTTACAAAAACAATGTCGGGTTTGTAAATAGAGAGAAAAGTGTGAAGATGATCAATTTTGTTTACTAGACTCCTCGTATTAAGTGAATAAGCTCGTAATTCAGTAGTTGTGCCGTGCGAAATCACGCGTTTCCCGACCGTCCGTTAGCCAGATCAACTACTCGCACAAGTTTCCCGCGGTAAACCACCCACTCCTTTTCCCTCTTACCCTTATTGCGTTCACGTGCTTCTTGTCGCAACTCGAATTCAGCTCTGCGTTCTTCTTCTGTTAGGCTTCTCCGAACGAAGATCCCTGAAAATCCTGAACTGCGCAAAGTATGAGCATTGGCGAGGGCGAGCCTCCAATAATAAGTGGATGTAAGTACAACTTTAATAAGCCTTGGACGAAACGCACTGGGTTTCCCCATCCAGAAGAATTCACTGGGGGGACAGTCCACGTCCAAAGCCCCCAAAATAGAATCCACTTTGTCTTGAAGGTACTTTCTTCTCGCCAATGCTTCCATACCTTGAGCGGGTTCTTCAACTCCGCTTATAACGAGGCTCCGAGCTTTTTTTCATCTTCTACTATCGCCGAAAAATCTTTCGGAACCTTCTCAGCCAACGCCTTGATCATGTCTGTCATGATCGGATCATGACTTCTTTCGAGCATGATGGCGATTAGATCATGTGCACTCATTTGGCTATAATTTTCATTTGCTCTACTGTCTTTGAATCTCATCATTGCCTCGGAGTGAACGCTGAGATGCATTAGCATTTACTTTAGATTTGCAGGCGCGGGTGGTTTTTGCAGGCATATTTCCTTGATCTACCTCAATCGGACCGACTATCGATCGTAAGACAGCGAAAAAACGATAATCAAGCGAAAAAAGGGCAAGAAATGGCAAATCAGCAGTCAAGAGGGGCTGTACAGGCACCTAGACACACTGAAAGGAGATTTCGTGAAGAAAATCTGCAATAGAAAATGGAATGAGAGAAATATCAGGAAAAAACGGAGCACGAAAATTAGCCGCCGCTCGCTAGCTCTGCAAAGGAGAGAATAAGTTGATGCGCGGCGGTTGCCACACTTGAGCATGATAGTTGGTTGCTAGTTCTCGATTGTGAAATATCCGCACATCATGCTCCTGCGCGTCCCCACTTCTTTCCTTATTTGAAATTTGATCAGCTCGGAGTTTTACTACTGCGTTGTTACTTCTACAAGCTGCACTTTATGGTGAGTTATCATGTTCTTAGAGCTTGACTCGCCGTGTTTATTAAAACCAATTATTTTACAGACAGCTATGTGCAGCATAATGACACCTGGCATGAATCGTTCACGGCAATGGAAGCCCTGGAATGCCACACGGACGAAAGGCGAAATCGAAATCAAAGACAATCCCCGGAAGCAATTCATTTCTATGCCTTGTTCAATACAAAGATCAGGTAAGCAGCCTGAAATAGTTTACTTTTTATCTGTTACATTGCTTAGGATCTTATTTGTGAGATCTGCGTACTTCATAGCCAATTTTTCCACTGAGCCATTTCATTAATCTTCTGTAGGGAGTGTTTTGATGGAGCAAAATTATGATATGTTGCTACGCAAAAGTCTCCTGAACGTGCCATCTTTGCATGAACATGTGCAGGGTGTTTTGACGTTGGACTTCGAGCGCTTATGCGCTTCCCGTAGCACTTCTCTTTTGGAACTCATTAATCATATAAAAAATATTAGGTTGTCCGGAAATTAATGCAGGTTTTGAATTCCAACCGCAATAAGTCATACATTTCTCATTTCTAAGTAGGTTGCAATATATCATTCGATAGAGCAAAGCAAGCTCTACAAGATGGCTGTCTTGATTTTGCAACAGCTCTGATCCACCACGAGTTTCGAGCCAAAAACTAAAAAGATTCAACTACTCAAAAACCGAGAAAAATCGTAACTCAGTTCATAAAAATCCTACAAAAATTCTAACTCGCTCACGTAAACACTGTCCACATAAGACGTATATGTACGCCGTTGCCGTATTTTTTTCTCGGTTAGAAACCAAGAAAACGAAGATTTTCATGTTTCTGCCAAAGTGATCCTATGCCGTTCCCACATAAGTAGTTGTATACTACTTTACCTGTAGAAGTACAATCTCAAATTTCCAGCTCTCTACAAGCTTTAGTTTTCGAGAAATATCGAATACACTTTTCCTAGTCATGTGGTTCAAGCTAAAATTCAAATTTCTCGAGAACTGAAGCTTGTAGAGAGCTGGAAATTTACGTTTGTACTTCTACAGGTAAAGTAGTATACAACTACTTATGTGGGAACGGCACAGGATCACTTTGGCAGAAACATGAAAATCTTCGTTTTCTTGGTTTCTGATGAGAAAAAAATACGGCAACGGCGTACATAGATGTCTTATGTGGATAGTGTTTACGTGAGCGAATTAGAATTTTTGTAGGATTTTTATGAACTGAGTTACGATTTTTCTCGATTTTTTGAGTAGTTGAATCTCTTTAGTTTTTGGCTCGAAACTCGTGGTGGATTAGAGCTGTTGCAAAATCAAGACAGCCACCTTGTAGAGCTTGCTTTGCTCTATCGAATGATATATTGCAACCTACTTAGAAATGAGAAATGTATGACTTATTGCGGTTGGAATTCAAAACCTGCATTAATTTCCGGACAACCTAATACAATACTTTATATCCTTCCCCACTTTAAGTCAGACGAAATTATTGTGCTGGATACAGTAGTGTTTTTCTCATTCAAGAGCAGCGTGATCCGTAAAAACTTCTAGCGCAAAGTTATTTTCTAAGATCACAGGCGACACATGGTACAAGATAGCGGTCTGATAATAAATGTTGGAAGACAGTCTCTTTTCCTCTCGGTTTCATTCCCGTGTTTGAGTCACAGAGTATTGCGATGTTCGGGCAAGCGATCAAATGCAAACTTTGTGCTACCAATTTCGATATTCCGCTAACTTTTGCTTTGCAGAGTAAACTAAATCTCATTTGTGCACTTTCCATACGTTTTATAGGTTGCAAATCTCAACTAGAAAGGGCGAAAACATCAAGAATGTTCTCTATTTCACAAGAAAGCAAAGTCTAAAGTTTTTTATCCAGATAAGTACGTTTTCAACCACTCTTACAACGGATAATTCTAGCAAACTAAAGTGCTTTCATTTTAAAGCTGTCTATGGTTACATTACTTCAACAAACAGCTAAGAAAACAGAATAGGCGGCATTGCATTGTTGAATGAAATGATGGCGACAAAGGAGAGCGCTATCTTTTCTTAATGAATGAAATTAAATGTCAGATTACGTAAAGGTTTCACTTCAAACTATCCTGAGTTTTGAGTTTATGTATGTCAGGTTTTTCGCGGTAATGCTAAAGTCGAAAAACGTTCCATGAGCGTGTCAAATTTCTCCTCTACAGAAGCTGAATAGATGCTTCATACGATCTTAGCTGTAAGTTGGCGGAGTCTCGCACGGAAACCATAAACAGGTGCGCCGCTTTTCCAGCCTGCTATTGTATTGGCGCGAAATTCAAGGACGGCGAGAATTAGAAAATATTACAGCTCTTAATTCACATGTGAGAAGAAGTCCAGTTGTGATGCAGTCAAAAAGAAGAAGCTACACAGCATCTTTCAAGATGAATGTTGTCGCATACTCGGAGGAGATCAGCACACATACTGGCAGAAAGAATGGGAATCGTGCTGCGAAATCATATGGAGTGAATAAATCCCAAGTGAGGAAATGGATGGCAGACATAGATGCGCTACGAGTTGCGCTCTGCTTAGCCAAAGTGGCCAGATCTTGAAGAATCTCTCAAAAAATGGGTGATTGAACAGCGTGAAGAGAAACGCAAGGTATCGACTATTCAAATCCGTTTGGAAGCAAAACGCATGGCGGCAGCTATGTATATCATGAACTTTAGAGCTGGCAGCGGATGGTGTAACAAATTTATGCAACGCGCAGGATTATCGGTAAGAGCCACCACATCAAAAGGCCGCATCCTCCTGAAAACGCAATAGATCTCATGGATAGGTTCCGCGCCCTTTTGAAAGCTGAGACTGCCACAATTCTTCTCAAGGACATCGGGAACATGGGCGAGGTTCCAGTCACTTTTGACATGCCTGGAAAGTATACAGTGGACAGGAAAGGAGCACAGGACATTACTATAACGACAACAGGTAAGATTTAGCCAGTTTATACATTCCTAATCTGTTGGTTTAGGAGGAGAAAAAACCAACTTTACGGTCGTCCTTGGTGTGACCGCTGATGGCAACTTCTGTCCACCAATGGTAATATTTGATAGGAAGACAATCCCCAAGGATACGCCACCCGGTTAGCGTTGCATATAGGTCTCAAAATCTACTTATTCTCCTGATATGAATTTCAGGAGTTGTCGTAAAAGCGAATTGTCGGGGATGGATGAATGAAGTCCTCATGACTGATTGGATTGAAACATGTTGGATGGCGCGGAAAGATCCTGCAACTTCCCCGGAGCAATCCGTACTTATTCTTGATTCGGCTTGATGCCATTTGATTTCGGGATCCACAGAAGCCTTATGAAGAAGAACGAAGATCGCCGTGATACCAGGAGACTCACAAAAAATCTCCAGCCACAAGATATATCTGTAAACATGCTTCAAAAGCAAGCTCAGAAAGAGATGGGAGGAGTGGATGATTGATGAGAGCAGGCATACATACACTAGACAGGGACATATGAGACATGAACGTACGCAGAAGTGTGCTCTTGGGTATGGCAAGTATTTGAGAAATTAGTGAATGCGTATGAAATGGCTTCAGACGAGCCTTCGGAGAAAGCGAACATGACGAAGTAGGAGAAGGCGAACTTGATCACGAATTAGGAGTAAGTGAGCTCGAAAACGAAGGAGGAGAAAGCGATCTTGAGGACGGGGGAGGAGAGAATGTACTTGATGGCAGAGTAGGAGATCACCTGAGCGACGCGCAATCCATGTGATCCTTTCAATGCTCTTTACAAATTCATCATCCTACAAAACCTTTCGCTTTGCCGTTTGTCATTTTCCGTTTGTCAAGTTGGCTCCTATCGTTCAGTTATTGCTATATTTTCATGCAATTTGCTTTGGAAGTCTTATGTTTCTCTTCGCTTTGACTTTGTTTCGTAGTTGTTACGTTCCATTGTCGTGATAGTTTGGATTTCGAAGTGAGAATGCAGTAGTAAACCTCCGAGCTCATAGCGCCTAGTGCTCAAGGCTTCTTTCTGTTGGATGCGCTGTCATTCAAATTCTGTAAAGAAAATCATTACCAGTTTTGGAATGAATCACTCATCAGTTGGCCTACGGATAACATACTTAGTGTTTTGGATCTCTTCGTGTTGTAAGGACGAAATTCAGGTCAGTATCTTCATCCTTATCTTACCAAGCTTGATATCTGGTGCGACAGCTATTAGGGTATCCCATAATTATTTACCGTTTTTGCCATAAACATCAGCATTTCTCCAGAACTGAGGCACCTTCAGAATTTTCAAAAACATCATATACTTCTGCATGTATGACCTACATGATCACGTGTGCGGGAGGAGCTCAGGACTTCTAGGGGCGAACCTTGCCTTTTTACTCCATTCAATTTTTTCTTCATTTCTAGCCATGGAAAAAATACGAATTGTACAGTTGATTGTTCGATGTGTCAAGCATATGCTAGTTTGAATAAGGAATTTTTCTAGAATTTTTTGGGGCGGAGATACGATTTTTGACAGAAAAGTTCGTTTTTGACTACTACCATATTTTAGCTCAAAACTTTACGCGGATTATGATTTACGCAGGCTTTTGACAGCCATCTTGTAGAGCTTGCTTTGCCCTATCGAATGGTTATTCAAGCTGCATCAGATGAAGGATAGATACAAAAAGACGACCGTCGAAGTAAAAACGCTAAATATTAGGCTGGAAACTAAGTTTTGCAACTGGTCTCATAACTTTCCTCACACTCAACATGGCGCACTCAAATTTTGGCATTATGTAGAGAGTAATGTGTGTTACAAGTGCGCCCAAACCGTTTGAATTTTGAAAACGAAATAGAAAAGTTTTGGGCATTTTTCGAAAACTAGTGAAATTTGAGAATTTTTAGGGTTCCAAGCTAAAATGAAGCCTTAAGCAGCCTAGACCATGCGCAGTAATCCGGATTCGTCTATATTATTGGAGCTGGAGGTTGACTCCTTTGGCCTAGTAAGAAAGAAACAGAATTTAGGGGTATGTCGAGATTTGGCGTCCTCACAAAGTCGAACGAGTCGTTGTACGCAAGAGCTGCTGGAACGACCGTCAATGACTAAAGAGTCCGTAGCCTAAATTCCGCCGAGACTTTACACAGTAAGGTTATTTGACCTGCCGAGCGCGAATATCATATTCATTTGTTGAATCAACGCCTTTTTCCTTGTTTAGGGTGAGACCTCATATCGTACACCTACAGTAATGCTACAAAAAAGTCCTTATCACGCAATTTCACTATCGTTTTCGTGATCAGCATGTCAGATAACACCCCTATGCCAAGTTTCAGCCAAATCCGTCAAACTTTGAATTTTTTCCCTTCATACCATGCACCTACCGTAACCCTCACTGCTGCGTCAGAATTTGGTAGGACAGCAGCTGCACTTGTAGTTTACGTAATAACCAACACAGTGGCAAAATTTGAGTGCACCATGTTGAGTGAGAGAAAAGTTATGAGACAAGTTGCAAAACTTAGTTTCCAACCTAATAATTATGGGACAACCTAATATTTGGCGCTCTATCATGCTCTATTGTGGCATCTGCCGCAAATCAACCGCGCGGTGTGCTTTGGTCTGTGCGCGGATAAAGCAAACAGGGTGCGCCTTGTACGCGTGAAATTAGGGTAAACAAATGCAGACATCACCATATCAATTCGAGTCTAATTCTAGTCAGACTAATGTAAGAAAGATAAAGCGGCTTGCATTGAATATGTTGATAGGCTGATGGATAGATATGTGTACGTGTAGGTATTGACAGGCATTGATACTCATAACTCCAGAAGTTATAACTCCAAGGAGATGGGACCCATGCCCCCTCGTTGCCAGCGGAACAATCTTTATATTAATCTTGAAAGCAAACCGACAGTTTGTAAGGCGGGTCTGGCCCAGGTATAATAACCATAACCCCGCCTAGCCGGAATGCTGGGAGACCCAATGACCCCAAAGATGAAAAGATTCACATGCAATCCATTTGGTTAGATCAGAAGCTGTCCGATTGAATACTAGATAGCTGAGCGAAAAAGACTCGGACTAAGATGATGAGATACTGGTTAGAAACTAGAAGAAAACGAGTACACCGAAATCACAAGTGTGACGCAACGTTAGGAGACACACGAAGGCGTCAAAGCCATAATTTATAGCCATAATTGAAAAACAAACCATTATAAGACCCGAGAGCACCTGAAATGGCGGTTTATAAGATGAAATTTGAAAAGAAAACGTGATAGGAAACAAAGCCTATATCGGAGATCCATCCACAAACACAGCCATATAGCACATGCCTAGCAATAAATACAAGTCCAGCATCTCTGATACAAAAAAGGCTTTGACTGTCAGGCAACGCTAATCAATTTCAGCGATACTTGACAAGTCAAAACTTCTTAGTCTACTCCTGAAAATATGACTACTATCTGCACTAATGGTATCAAGAGGGAGACACGAAAGCCACCTAGCTCCCCTATAGAAAACGTTATTGAACATCAGTAGGTATATTCTGCGCCGAATTTTTGGATATTGCAGGTTCAAGGAACCAGACCTTTCACTGGTAGGAACAGAATCCAGTACTTGCTAGCTTTTAGTTTGTTCTCTTTCCTTAGAAAACTTAAAAGCAGAATGCAAGATCCGAAAATACCGCCGATTGGTCATTCTGGGTGGTAAGCTTCTATACACCAACCTCGTAAAATGCTGTTGAACCTTTTCTACTCTACGCATATTTTTATGCGAAAGGGAGACCAGATCTGAGAACAGTATTCCAGGAGAGGGAGAACAAACGCTTTATACAGCAATTCAGGTATCCTTGGCAAGCTGGTATTAGTATTGCGAAAAAGCATGAAAAGCGATGAATATGCTTTCTTGATTGTCATATCGACGTGCTTAATGAAGCTAAGATTTGTATCAGTCAGTACGCCCAGATCTCTAACAGCATCACATCCTTTCAACGTAGTGCCTTTGATGTGGCAGGAATCTGGGAACCACCTCCAAGATGAAGAGTTGAGCATTTATCAAGGTTCAACGCTAGATTCCAGCTATTACACTATTTAATCAATTTGTCAAAAAAAGTTTGCAATGCCCTAATCACCATACGTTTTTACTTGTATGCTAGGGGAAGTTTTCAAAACAGAAGGTATGTCGAGGGTATAAATCAGGAAGAGCAAGGGAGCTAAACCCCTCCCCCCCCCCTCCTGAGGGACATTACTAGTGCAGCAGTGATTTTGGAGTGATGAGGTCCAACTCTTACAGTCATATGTCGATCACGCAAATGAGACGTCAACCAGGAAGCAGATTACCTCCAACCCCAATTTTGGTCACCTTAATTAGTAGTTTAGAATGACAAAGCTTATCAAATGCCTTAGTGAGGTCAATAAAAAAAGTCAACAAATTTGCCCTCATTGATTGCCAAGCTTCACTTAAACACACTTTCTACCAGATTGGTGGTGGTAGAAAGACCGTTCAAAAATCCATGCTGTTCATCGGGGATTAGACCCGAGCTATTGAGCCAGTTTATTAATTTACCTCCTATAATTCTCCCCATGATTTTGACAGGGTTAAGCAGTAAATTAATGGGGCGAAAATTGGTAAGAAAAAATGCTTCATTAACTTTAGGTATAGCTGTAACCAAGGTCTTTCCACATAGTGGAACTTCTCCCAACATCATGGATATATTGAAAATGTGTGCGAGTGGAGCCGCAAGCGATGACGCGCATTTAGTACACAATTCGCGGTATACCGTCAAAAGTTTCCGTGAGAGGGGGCTTGAGTCTTCTAAAAAAAGTTGTACACACTAGATGGATGAAAATAAACGTCAACACAGCCATGAGTTGGAGTCACATCAACATCCATCGAAGTAGTGTATGCAACATAATTACTAACAGGAGAATAAACACTAGCAAATTAAGTACCAATGACTTCGGCTTTATCAGTATTTCTGATGTACGAAACACCGTAGGCATCTTTAAGGATAGCAAATTTAGCAGTAGGTTTCATTTTTTCTCAAATATATTAGGTCGTTCCGAAAGTAATGTCGCTTTTTTCAAACGTATGCCACATCTCGTGGAACAAAGACTTCTAAGAGAACTTGGGAACGTTCGTTGCAGCATTTCATTCTCTTTCTAATGCTCATGAAATTGTTGCAAAACAGCCAATGAGCTTTTAGAAAATAACCAAAATCTGCGACCTATGCTTTTTGAGATGGCCATGTTTCACAATTTTTCTAAAATTCTATAACAAACCTCAAAAGGAGGCCAAGTAATGGATGGATGGAGCAAACCATACAGGAAACAGCACACTTTTTTCTACTTTTCAGAGCTCGTCATAATTTTTGTACAGATTTTTTGATAGAACCGCCGAATTTTAGCAGGCTCGTCTCAGACACAAGTGCATAAAACGGCAATAAGTCTTCGGATTTTGAAACTTACAAAGATAGATTATGGTTTGGCAACAATTTTACAAGCCAAACGAGCAATCACCGCTTCGGTTTAGCAACTTTCGAAAATTTCGGGTACACCTTGGGGTGCCTTGGAAAAGTTGAATTATGATGATTTTATCCCGGAAAACTTGATGAATCGGAAACAAAAGACAACTGGTAGAATGAGGAGAAAAAGCCGCGTCGAATGACACCCGAGTTTCTTGCCGATCGTTGTTCTGTGAGGTTTGACTTGACTAAATATGGGATTTGGTGGCATTGAGAACTTGATTGTAGAAACTCTGAGAAGCAAGCTAAGGAAAAGAAAAAATTACTCTGT